AGGATTATTCAAACTTCTGCGATGTCCAGATAGGATAAACTTTATATAGGCAGATGTGGCACAAGAATGTAACAGCTGCATCCCGTTCTGTTTCAGCAACCTTGCAACCAGAAGCTTACAACACAACGAACCATTCTCCAGCTTTCAGCGTCAGAGATTCCTTTTAAAACCCATTCCAAATTCAAACTTCTTTTTTTTTTTAATTAAGGTTTTTATTTTTATTGCAAATTTTTACGTATTTTATGAACCAAGTGTTTGTCCGGATCTTTTCTTTCACATCCTCCCATATACATAATCCCTTTTACATCATATCTCTTGTTTCCAATTTCAGCCATGTTATTTCTCTTTCCGTATTTTTTATCTTAAACTTATTTTCTTCTTAGTACATTAAACACCCTTAATCGCCCTTAATTTCTAATCTCTTACAATAACATCAACTCCATCGCTAAATATGTTTCTCGAATTCCCACTCTTAAAACATTTCATCTTCGTCCCTTTATCTAAATTAATTTCAAAGCTAAACCAAATTGCCATTTTCACATTTCATCTGTTGGTCTGTTTTGCTGTAAGCAACAAACATCATCAAAATCATTTTTTTTTTACATAAAGAACAAGTTCAAACTTCTGTTCCTCAACTATGGACCCACATTTGATCGATCGGTCAGCTGGTTAATTGACCAAGTGACAAGAGATTTGTCTATTTCAGTGTTTCTCAACCTTGGCCACTTGAAGATGTCCGGACTTCAACTCCAGAATTCCCCAGCCAGCGAATGCTGGCTGGGAAATTCTGGGAGTTGAAGTCCGGACATCTTCAAGTGGCCAAGGTTGAGAAACACTGGTCTATTTATTTAAATCTGTAATTCTCTCCCAACTAAAAATATATCGATGGGGCTGTTGGATTTCCATCTAACCCCAAAAGAGGGCCAGGAAAGATTGGGAACCGTTGGCTGAAGATGGTCCTGAGCTCACAAGCAAACACAATAGCAATACCAATAGCAGTTAGACTTATATACCGCTTCATAGGGCTTTCAGCCCTTTCTAAGCGGTTTACAGAGTCAGCATATCGCCCCCCACAGTCTGGGTCCTCATTTC